GAGTAGAGAATGAAAGGAGGCATTTATATCTTCCGCTGCTCCTAAGAGAAAAACTCCAGACTATTGCTACTTTGTTTGGTTGATCTTCCCATGAGTTAACCAGTTGCTATTGACTTAGCTCCAACTCATAGTGACCTTGTGGGCATCAAAGTGGAACTGTGCTCCATAGGGTTTCTATGGCTGGTTTTCCAGAAGTAGATCACTAGGCCTTTCCTCCAAGGCACCTCTGAGTGGACTTGGAGCTCCAATCTTCCAGTTAACGGCCAAGCTCATTAACCATTTGCCCCACCCAGAGATTCCTTCTGTAAGTTACAGATCGCCTTTTTACTGGCTCCAAAATTTCTGTGTAGGAGGAACTGAGGGTTGGTAATTGGTTGGAAGGGGAGGCTAGCCATGTAGTATGCTGTCCATACTGCATTCTACAGACAAGGATGCAGAGCTATAAAGAGGGGCAATGGCTTACTAATAGGCCATTGGAGGACCAAGATTTGACTTGGTTCTTCCCTGACATCTCTGGTCAAATGGAAAGTCTATTGCATGTACAAGCTGGGTCATGCCCAGAGGACCTTGAAGTGCAAACTGCAAATGTTTTTTGTCCTCGGCTTTCTTCCAGGCACTGTTTACACACAAATGTGTCTACTCCAGCAGAATAAAGAGACTTAAGAATGGCTGTGCCAGATACTGCAATGCTACTATGAAGGTGAGGAGGGTGTGGCCAGGTTTCAGCCCAGGCAGCAAAGTTCAGACAGAAGCACAAAGGGCTGGGCTGCTCCAGGAGCCACATTCTTAGGCCTCAGAGACCTACACCATGACAAGTTGGCTTTGTGGCCTTAGCAATGTCTTCCTGCAGGGGAACCAAAGAGCAGATCTCTATATATGGCCAGGTCACCCTCTTCCCTATACCAAACCCTCCCAAAGTCCCTTACCCCTCTTAACGTGGAGCCCACACTGATGATGTTTCCCCACGTGGTCCACCTTGTGCCCATCTCTGTGCCCGTCTCTGACATTCGTTCCTAATTTAGAGAATGTACACTTGCTGTTCCCTCCCTTGGGGATGTTCTTCCAGATTTTCTTAGGGTTGATTCACCTTTCAAGGCTCCATTTAAATGCCATCTCCTCCGTGATGCCTTCCCCAAACACTCCATCCAAAGCAGTCTCCCCAGACTACGCTCCACCACCTCTGCCCCCACTTGCAGCCACTTTTTTGTGGT